GCAACGGATTTTAATGCGTTTTTTTTTTTAATAGATAGAGTAATTCAAGAGGAAGGTTTATATACTTAATACATGCATAATATAGTAGAGAAACACTGATAATTTTAGAGGTTTGTAATGTGACGTCGTAAATAAACATTTTTTGCGCTTACATTGCAAACGCTGGCTGGACCCTACGAGATAGATCAATATAATATGCTACAATATTGTACACCTTAAAAAGGCCTACAAAAAAGTCCGCGATGGTATATGTCTATCTCTTAGGGATAACCCACAATAACCATTTTTTAGCCTTTACTTATAATAATGACTTATTCACGAAGCGATTTTAAGCAATGCAGTATTAATCCTTATCCAATTAAGTACTTTTAAATACATTGTGCATTTAATATAGATCAATACGGCCCTTTACAGCATGTAATTTAAATGAAAAGATATTACAGACTTAAAATGCAGGGACATAGCGGTTGCGGCGGTACCGGCCGGTTTGTATTGTCTAATAACAAAAAAGCTGTGATTGTTGTATATAAAGACACTCTATAGTATATTTACTATCAGTATTGCATCCGTGCGAAGCATAGTGTACAAATAACACCATTACAAACAATTCCTTAACCCCTATACCGGAATGTTTGTGTGTTTGAAGAAGTTTTACTTTGGTAGCGTGTTGAATAATTACACGTATTTTTTTTTTAATATTAGGTAAACATTATCCTCCATGTTCCAGTTCATCTAGTTTTTTAAATAAGTGTTTTATTTAGCTGCCCAAAATCTTCCATTAATAAGGAATTCAAAATTTTCTCAGCGAGATCCTGAATTAGTAATTTTAATCTAGATACCATTCATGGTTTTTGCGCGAAAAGATAATAAACATTTTTGCTAATTAAAGATTTAGCAACAAGCCACTGAATAGACTATGGGCTACATAATTTCTAAAACCATTATCTTCCGCTCTTCTTGCTTGTTTATATCTGTAAATTAATAAGCAACGTATTTAATATGTTAATGCTACTTTGTCGGAACCTCCAGGATTGTTGAAAATATGATGTTTACAAAAAAGTTAAAAAATTGACTACAAAAAAAGACTAACATCCGTAATTTCCAATTTTTGACACCATTGAGACTTTTAATCAGAATTATTCAAGTAATAGGTTTTCCAATGTTTCCACCAATTTTCCTGTCAAAAACTGGCNATCTTTTATATAAAATACCAAATGAAACAGGCACCTTCAGATTCCACTTACTAATCAACTGAAAAAAGTATTTTACATAATTCTTTATCATAGTAATTTTGTTTGTTAATTCAAATTTTATATCTTACATTAAAATGCATCATATTCGTGATGCAATTACATGCATGCCTGTCTGTATAATAGAGAAGTATGTACATAGACTTGATTGCTCCAGAATAATACACTTTTCGTATTTCTTTCCTTAATAATTATCAACAGGACAATTCCAGCAATTGATGTAAAATGTTTTATTCAATATAGTATAATCGCACCGACGTTTCGCTGTATGATATTAAAGTTTTTTGAAGCGAACCTTCGGTGTGATTATATACAGAATAAAATATTATCACCCTTTAAATTGTGTGAATTGTCCTGTATGTAGTCTTGTTCCTACATAATTAATATTTGTTACAGTAATACATATAATGCATGCTCCTCTTTATTGTGGTAGTGCTTTCTCTGGAAGCCATATATATCTCAAGGAATCGCTTTATTTTTCTCTTTAGTTTAATCTAGAAAAGGTAACTTTCAGTTATAGAAGACCTTAATTAAAAGTGAAGTGGAAGGGAGTTCTTTTAGTATTTTATATCCTACCTTTCTTAATAGGTATTTAAAAAAAATGTGAAAACCTCTTTACATAATTGTGTCCCAGGGGATAGACCCAACAGCAAAATTTATTTAAAAACTAAATAAATGAAAAATGAATAGCAACGGTAGCTTTTTTAATATTTTATATTCCGTATTTTTTAATAAGCTTTTGAAAAACTTCTTTACATAATTGTATAAAGTAAAAAATCGAGCTGCGTACGGGGCAAAGGTTTTTGTTTATGTGAGTCTAACAACCTACGTTTCGTCTCACAATTATTATCTTCAGGATTAGATAGCCTTTTTTAATAGGTTTTTGAAAAAACAAAAGAACTTCTTTATATAATTGAGTTTCGAGAAGAGATCCAGTAATAGAATTAATTTAAAAACCAATTACTAGTTTATCATTAAATAAATGAATAATGATGGGCAAGGGTAGCTTTTTTACGATTTTATATTACACATTTTTTAATAGNGAAGAGATCCAGTAATAGAATTAATTTAAAAACCAATTACTAGTTTATCATTAAATAAATGAATAATGATGGGCAAGGGTAGCTTTTTTACGATTTTATATTACACATTTTTTAATAGTTTTTTGAGAAAACGTAAAAATTTCTTACAATAATTGCGTTTTGAGACCAAATACGGTAACAATTTATTAAAAAACAAATCGTTAGTGAATGATGTGAAAATGAAAAATTACAAAAAAAAGTGGAGCATTCTCTCCCGGGTGATATTTTTTACCATATCCCTACCGAAAGTACGATATTTTCCCTCATTGAGTGGTGAAAGCACAACATTCTCTCACAGGAGGTAATGTTGCATTTTCTCACCCTTGGTAAAAAATTGTGTGTGGACACCCGGAAGAACGTACTGACACCCTCCCCTATTTTTTTGTCGCACACGTCTTCGGTTTGGGTAGTAATTTGCACCCGGGAAGGATTATCTTAAAGCGTAATCTGTTTCTGCATGATATCTGCTCCATCCGCCCCTTTTGTTTCATTGCTATAAATTATTTGTGTTGTTAAAATTATTAAAACTGTCTTAGAACTGATGACTTTATGATGAAGTACTTGTATACGTCAAATTTTAATTTGTGTTTCTGTCGAAAGACACAGAGTGTTGTTGTTTGACTGATTGTGATCAGGTCTTTCAATCGGTTTGCATATATAAAAACATATAATGTGCACATATACCAAGAATTTTTTAATTTGTTATTACCTGTATAATTTTATTAATGGGGACCCAGTGTTGAAACTGCGACATATTTCGAATTTATTGTATCAATGTTACGTAGCAATGAATATTTTAATGAAGGTTCGTTAGGCAAGAGAGGTCGGCGGAAACGTTCGTCGCATTTTCATCTAGTTATTAACCAATGAAACTCTCTCCTATTACAACCCATTTCATTTATGGTACAAATTGTCTCATAAATTGAATTAACAGATCTGCACTGACGCTCATTATTATTAGACGAAAACAAACGAGAAACCGGCAGGACAACAGGGCGGTTGGTTCATTAATAAACTGAAATGGTAAATTGAAAACCGTCCTTGAATATCTCTTTTGTAGCAATGGAACCTTTTTTAAATTACAGTAGTTATTTTTCTTCCTCGATTAATCCATTCAAAAAAAAAATACAACGTGTAATTATACAACACGCTACTGAAGTGAAACTTCTTTAAACACACAAACATACCAGGATAGGGGTTAAGGAATTGGTTTAATGGTATTATTTGTACACTATGCTTCCCACGGGTGCAATGCTGATAGTAAAAATACCATTGAATGTCTTTATATACAACAATCACAGCTTTTTTGTCATTAGACAATAGAAACTGGCCGGTACCGCCGCAACCTTTTAAAAAACAATTGAAAACGATGGCAATTTTATTTATATGAAAAGAACTCTCAGAAGTTAATTGATTAGAAATGAAATTTGGCGGTGATGTAAATTTTCATTATTGCATACATTAATTATAATAAATCTATTGGGTCCTTCTAGGCGATTCTCATTCTTTATAAATCTTAATCTCTTTTACTATCTAAAAATATTGAAATTTTCGGATAGTGTCATTCTTAATTTAGAATTTTGACTACAATTTATGTGATTCTTAAACCGTTTATTCATTAACCTCGTCGAGTGACATCGGTTAGTAATTATTATTTATATAATTTGAGAATTCATCAAGGTTTTGTTGACTCAAAAAGAACATTGCGACAGTTCTCCTGAGACTCAGGGATGTACCTACTTCTAAAATCATGAACATGTAATAATAGCATTTTAAAGTTTAGCATAAATGCAATACAAATGCGTATGGCGATTTCATAACACGTTCTGTAACAGAAATTTTAAATTAAATCCTGTTAATATTAAAAATATTTATATTATACAACATAACTGTAATTATATAGAAT